CATTTCCACCAATTCTTTAATGGGCATTTTTGTAAATTTTAAAAAGTACATGGCCCATCGATTCTTAGGCGAATCCCAATAGTGAATCGCCATGTGACGTCATGATTCTCTCGATTCTTCGTCTTCGATTCATGACGCCCTGGCTCGGCGATTCTTCAATGGAAGGGCATTTCCTCGATTCTTCATCTTCGATTCATGACGTCATGGCCCGTTGAAGAGCATTTCTGCCGATTCTTTAATGGGCCATCATGGCCCACCGATTCTTCAATGGAAGGGCATTTCCTCGATTCTTCGTCTTCAATTCATGACGTCATGCCCCGTTGAAGGGCATTTCCTCCGATTCTTCAATGGGCCGTCATGGCCCACCGATTCTTCAATGGAAGGGTATTTACTCGATTCTTGGTCTTTGATTCATGACGTCATGGCCCATTGAAGAGCAGTTCCGCCGATTCTTCAATGGGCATTTGACGTCATGGCCTGTTGAAGAGCATTTCCGCCGATTCTTTAATGGGCTGTCATGGCCCGCCGATTCTTCATTGGAACGGCATTTCCTCGATTCTTCGTCTTTGATTCATGACGTCATGGCCTATTGAAGAGCATTTCCACCGATTCTTCAATGGGCATTTGACGTCATGACTCGTTGAAGAGCATTTCTGCCAATTCTTCAATTGGCATTTTTTGTAAATTTTAAAAAATACATGGCCCCCGTATTCTTCAATGGGTTTTGGCATTTTTTGTAAATTTTAAAAAGTACATGGCCCGCTGATTCTTCAATGAGTTTTGTAAATTTTAAAAAGTACATGGCCCGCTAATTCTTCAATGGGCATTTTTGTAAATTTTAAAAAGTACATGGCTCGTCGATTCTTCAATGGGCATTTTTGTAAATTTTAAAAAAGTACATGGCCTGCCGATTCTTCAATGGGCATTTTTGTAAATTTTAAAAAGTACATTGCCCGCCGATTCTTCAATGGACGGGTATTTCAGCCGATTGTTCCATGGGTATTTTTGTAAATTTTAAAAGTACATAGATCTTAAGGTCCACACACCTCGTCACGTGACTCTCATCACTTCACACGCGTTATCATCGTTAACTACAA